TGCGAGTAGAATTTCGTCTACTCATGATAATATTTTTTAGTAACTTGAACACTTTTGCTTTTTTGCTATACACACTTGTAAGAATTTAAATTAGAAAGAATTGAACTAGATAATTTTAATTCGAATTTTTAACGCTTTATTATGAAATTTCCCAACAACTCAATAATGGAAACACGGTTGAATAAGATATTAGAGTAATTATGCCCCATGTCCTAAATCCACCATTTTGGTTTCTAAAATTGCTTATTTAACGATTTTGGTAATTCGACTAGTTAAAATTTGATTTTAATATAATTACATTTTTTTTTAATTTTCTCTTAAAAGTACATACATACATACATAATATTGTATATCCAAAAATCAATAGCAACAAAACATTTTTTTTTATGAAATTTAATATTTTTTCTTATAAAGTTTGAAAAATTCAGAATTAATTAAAGTAACTCGTTCACCAATTTTTATTTTTATTCTAAAATGGAAAACCACAAATTAAAATAATAAAAAAAAAACATGTAGAATAAAAAAAAACCTTCATATTAATTAAATGTTATATTATGTTGAAAATTTGTTTACTTTGCAATTAAGGTGTTGTATTTCTTTTTCTCCTCGATTTTATAATTATTGCTAACGGAAATTGAAAGGGTAAAATTTGTTGTTATATACGCTGTTTAAGTACATATATGTATATGCAATTATTTCTGTTCTATTATATAATTCTCATCATCATATTACAGACTCTTAAAAATCATTAAAATGTGGTTTAAATATTATGAGGTTTAAGAAAGAAAAAGGAAAGAATTTTCTTACATGGTGAACAATTTGTGTGTATGTTATACAAAATAGAAAATAAAAGATATATGTATTAATTTATACATATATCTTTAATTATGTATTTAATTTATTGTTATTTGTTATATAATAAGAAACATATGTTCATAGCGTTTTCCATCCACATTCCATTTTCAATTTTATATGCCATCTAGCTGTTAATTAATTATTTGTGGTTTATGTCATTTTTAGGGCTAAAATTCTATTTAACAATAATATTGCGACTGTACGTAAATTAAAATTTAATTTAAGCTTTAAGCATTTTTCAATTTATTCTTCCAATAATTTTATTAAAAATTTTATCAGATTTTTCAAAAATTAAAATTCAAAAACAATACTTCAAAAGTAAAATAAATAATTTTTTGAGTAATTAAAACTCAAATATGAATTGTGGTCGTCATTATACTAAACACATTATAATTACATGCATACATATGTGTACGTACCTATATGTATGTATGAGTTGATGAATGTTTGTGAAGACAAAAAAAAAGATGACAAGAAATTCTAATACAATATTGTCCACAATAAATAAATGTATGTACTTAGGTGTTAGTAATTGAAGGTGACATCATTGCCAATAAAACAATAATGAATTTAATGATGGTTTGGTTCTTTAACCCAAAAATTATCTTAAATTTTAAATAAATTTAAAATTACTAGAAAGTTAGGGTTATTCTTATTAAATATATTGGCTTGGCAATGGGAGAGCTCCTGGATTTTTGAACACTTTACTGTTAAGGAAAATATATTAAACTAGTCAGAATTTACGAAGCAAACTTTTGGAAAGGTCCGAACCACATTTGTGTCTTGAAAATTATTGATAGTTCGACATTTACAGCTTTGTATAAATATCAAAAAATTTTATTTCATTTTGGATTCTCTTTACGATATTTCTGTTCTATTCTATTAAGACCCCCCTGTTCATATACTGTACATCTTTTTGGGCACATATGTATTTTAAAATTGACGCAATAATTATTTTTTAATTTAGATTTAGTGATCTGCACCGAATTGACAACTTTATTATTTTTTATTTTGCTAATCTCGTCTCGTAATTCTTTTCCAGATAGAAAGGAAAATGAACATTTCACTAATCTAAATTTACAAAAAAGGTCATCAAATTTGGTTAATCAAATGTTTATTTTATAATTAAATAAATTAAATAATAATTTCACTTAATCTCATTTTTGAAATCGAATTTGTATGTATGTTACGGAACACCGATTAATTCGTATATGAATAATTTCTCCGTCGAAATCTAGAATAAAGTTATTACTTGTATTGTGATTTTATGGTAGACTAGTTATACAAATATGATTCTTTTAACTTATATCCCGCTATTTTGGAAATTTTTAGTAATTTTAGTTAGAGATTTCTATTACACGTCTATAGGCACCTTATATTTTTCTAAAATATACTATGAATACAGAAATTTCGAGGTAAAAGAACCTTTAATTCACTATACATCAGTCTCAATTTGAATATTTCATATTCTATAAAAATTTTTAGCAGTTTAATAAAACACCTTTTTGACACTAAATCTCTTTTAATTACCTATGTATGTATTTTTGATTTCAGGTTTGATAAAGTATTCTTGTTTCTATTTATACATTTTTCAAAGTTAAAAAGCTACAAAAACAAATACAGAGAAAAATAACACTGTACGTATGTATGAAAATATAGATAAAAAAGAAAAAAAGCCTCGACTTCCCAGATGATTATTACATTTTAATATTTTATTTTTAAAAGTTTTGTGGCCTTTAAACAATTCATACAATACCAAATATAAAGGAAATTGAATAGGCCTAAAAGAATTTTTCGTTAAAATTAAACAAAACAAACACGACCGCAATAATAACAAGTTGAAAACGAAAAAAAAAAATTGTTTAGATCATCATCAATTATGAAGCAAAAATTTAAGCTTTAATTTAATATAATGAAAAGATCTAAATCTCTTGAAAAAAAAAACATCACACTAATTTCATATTGGAACAATTTTTTTTCTATTTTTATTATTTAATAAAATTAAATTATACTACCATATTATGAAAATGATTACAAACCTAGTCTCCGTTAATGTAGGAAAAAATGCTGTCAAACTAAACTAAAACAAAAATTACATTATTGAAAACAGCTGATTACATTTTTGTAGAACTGTTGCAGAAATTGTGTAAGTGTCAAATTTGTGTTCATTATAGCATTTTTTAACATTGTTATAGGTAAAATTCGGGATCCAATAACAATTTTTATCAATTTTATCCCGTAAAATTAAAAACAATGTCAAAAAATATATATTTTTCATCAAAATAATAAAAGGAATTTACATTTTGAATAAGAAATGTGTTAATGTCGAAATTCTGCACAAAAATATACAAAAATTTTTTATGCTTTTTTTGTTTGGTTGTAATTTAGCATTACGATATTAAGTTGAAATTACTCAATATAAAAGCTACTGTCGCAATACTTTTGCAGTACGTTACCGAAAACTATATTATGTAGAAATACCGTATTTACCGCTTTAATGAAGGCAGCCAGGCACGTGGAAATTAAAAATTTTAAAATATAGTATTTAAATTCGTTTATTAACTTAAAAAATTGTGTGATTTTATTCCAAATTGTAAAATTATAAATTACTTAATTGTGAAGCGAATTTCATGCAAAATTTTTATTTTAAGAGATATAGTATTATATGAACGACTAAAATCAGAGTAAATTTACCTCATTACCGTTTTGATTTTGATACGTACAATTTGTCTAATATAAAAATTTTGATAACTAAAATTAAACCAACTATTTTGCAAAAGGATAGTACGGCTATATATTATAAAATGAGAATAAATACCTATATACATAATGTACATAATCTAGTAAACATAGACTATGTATTTAAAGTTATATAGGCACAAAACGAATTTTAAGAATTTAAGTTTTTAAGTTGAATACAAAAAAAAAACCTGTTCCCATTATAATATGAGATCATACTGCTATATTGAATTTTAGAAACACATGAATTGAGTACACACAAAAAAAAAGTAACAATTTATAATATGAAGATCAAAATCGGGATCCATTATTCAATTGTTCAGGGTCACGCAATAATGAGAATTAAGTTAGAATTTCATGTCGCTTTTTTTCATAACCAAAGTATTTTATTCAATTTCAATTAAAATTCTTTTAATGGAACTAGTGTTTATCACTCAATCATATTTCTGTTGAAAAAATTTATGCAGTATGACAGTTTTTTGGATGGACAATTGATTTAAATTTGTGTTTTTTGGTTTGTTATTTTCATAATTTAATATACATATGTATGTATGTGGTTAACGCCTGATGAATATATGTACGTATATATGAAGATAATTAAATTATTAAAATAAAATCATAATTAAAGGTAGTCTCACGCTTCTGTATTTCACCTGATCTTAATAATTTTACGACTTGATCAGAATGATTTTGTTTTCTTTAAAAATTTGCTGAAACATTTTCTATGAATGACTCTGAGGAAATTTCAAATAAGTTAGAATTTCCCTCGAAAGTAGTTCTTTTGTTGTTATAAACTGGATAAATTTTAATATTCTGAAAATGGCCTAAACTTAGGTAAGCTAAAACAATTTTAAAAAAATTAAGAGAAAGTTGAGTAGTTGAAAAACACTAACAATTGAATGAAAATCGAAAATTTTTTATGTGTTTCTTAATAATCTCTCTTTACAGCTGGAGTTTTCAAACAGACTGAAAAAGAATATTCAACATTTGAGAACGTACAGACTTCTTTGATAGCTTAAATTAATATGTAACGGACTTCAATCTTTGACACATACATACATATATTTCATATTTTGATTTTATTTTTTAATTCGTTGACTTATGCCTTTTGGCTCTTCTTATTTTTACTATAAAATTTTAAATTACCCAAATCTATATATAATAAAGTAATTTTTCTTTACTCCAAATTTTACTGCCTTGATAATAAAATTTAAATTCTAATTTTAGTGATATTGTATGAGCCCATAGTAACTATTTTATAACAACTTTGGTTCGGTACATAGTATAACATTAGAATTTTAAATAAGTAACACATTAAATAAAAAAAAAACATTATATTTAATATTTTTAAATAATTTTTATTAGAAAAAGAAAAGGAAATTCTAAAAATTATCAGTTTTGTTCCGAATTCGATGTAGAATTATTTTTTATACATGTACCTACAATGTATGATTATCGTGATATAAAATGTTTAAAAACAGATGAATACGTTTGTATATAAATTTATATACAATATTTATGTATATATATATATATATATATATATATATATTGTGAATATGTACTCATACGTATGTGAAATAAATTTAAGATTAACGTGTTCTACTAAAATAATATTCAGTAATCCAATTTTCAATAATTGATAATTCTTGAATTCTAGCATTTATAACTGATGCTGGATCATCAGGATTAGCTGCTCTTAAATCAATATGATGTGCACCTTCTGGTATTATAATAATATTAATTTTATCATTATTTGATTTTAAAACACCACCACTACTCCATGGATCTAATAGACCATTACTAAAAATGATATTTGATGCTGAATCAATTTGTTTACCACCATAACGCATTAAAATTTCATGTTCATTTGGACGTACACCAAATTGTTTAAAACATTTATCTGAATATCCTTTAAAATTCCAATCACTTTTTGGGAACATACTATTTTTATTACACATTGGCATTACCATTTCTGTACACGATTGAAAATTCCAACCTAAATCACCCATATTTGGTTCAAATGCTGTACTATAATCTAAACATTTTAATTTTCCAGTATAATTTGCGTATATACTTATTGCATTATGCATTGCATTTAATAGCTCTTCACCTTGATACAATTTCTCTAATTGACCACAAAACATTCGTACTGGATATGCTGGTAATGGTGCTAAAAATTCATTTTGATATGGATAATTAGCCATTGCTAAATTACTATACATATCATTTAAATATTCAAAAAATTCATTAGTAATATCATCAGTTTTTGTTACATTTTTACAAAATTTATATTTATTATTTAATATTTGTCTCCCTTTATCATTTGATGAGAAATTTTTAAACATATCCCATGAATTTATAATATTTTCAACACATTCCGGTTTATCAGCAACTTTAAATACAGATGTTACAATTCTACTATAAATATCACATGGTGTTAAACCAGTAAATTGTAATATTGGTGCTGATGCAGCTAATGCACCAATTATAATATGTGGATATTTCATACGAAACCATGCTGCTAACATACCGCCATATGAACCACCAAATGCTATTATTGGTCTACTATCATATTTACCATTTGTTATATTATATAAAAGTGTAGCATAATCAGCTAATGCTTGTTCAGCTGATAAATATCCACTATATGTTGATGAATTAAATGACATACTCCCAAATGGTAATGATTTACCATAATAACGATGTTCGGCAAATATTACAGCAGCTTGCATTTGTTTTGCTGCCTCCCACATAAAACCAGTATTTTGAGCAAAAAGTTCAATGTCACCTTCATTGCCAGTATAAAAGAAGATTGGTGAATAACTACGGCCAGATGAATATGTTTCATTGATAAGATATCTTAATTTAAATGTTGTTTGATTTGTAAAACTAAAATGATCTAATGGAACATTTATATATTTTTCAGTATATAAGTAATCTTTTGGTCCATTGTATAAATTATTGTTGTTGTTGTTTGAACTTATTATAGCTGATATATTTAAAATTTCATTACATTGAAATGTCAAGAATATTAATAGAAAAAGTTTATTAAGTAAATGCATATTTTTTGTTTTCTTCTTTTTTTTTGTAATTACTTCAAATTTTTTAATGAAATATTTGTGAACCACACTCAATCGATTCAAATTTATAACTATTTTCTCTCTTTCGATTTTAGCATTGAAAATCGCATGTTATTTATTGTTGTTTTATTGTGATTTTGTTTATTATTGTTATTATCATTTTTATTTAAAAATTAAAAGATTTTTTCCTTTTTGTTGTTTCTTTTTTACTTTTGAAACAAAAAGAAAACTATATAGAGAAAAACATATTGAACAAAAGATAATATTAAATTTCACAACACAATCTGATCGAAAATATTACAAATACACTCTTAGAAAACGATTATATTATGATGTGGTGAACTCTCCCATTTTCACATATTATTTATAATTATTTAGAATGAGTAAGATTTTTTATGTTTGTTTTTGTAATATACTGAAACAACTTAATTCCGATATGCGGCTTACATTCTCAATTTGTTTTTGTTTTATTAGCATATTTACAAAGCACAAAACGAAATAGTGTCGTTTTTGTTCTGACATTTATTTGTCGGATTTAATGCTAAATTATAAAAGATAAAATAAACAAAATTTATATATGTACGTATATGTATACTGCTAAGACAGTAATACTATTTAGCAAACAATTACGAATTGTAAATACTAATTAGCATTTGTAAGCTGAATTGTGCAGTATTAGTACAATTTCGACGTTACAGATTAATTTCAATTTAATTAAATAATAATTAAGTTAAATTCAGAAATTTATGCCTCAGCATTCTTAGCCGACACAAAAATGTTTTTAATTCAGCTAAAAGAGCTTATAAAATTAGTTAATTTGACCTTGTACCCTCTTAAAGCTTTTATGTACCTGTTATCAAATCATTTTGGAGAAAAGTGCTTCTTTGAATGCCATTATTTATTTTAATCTTGTGTTTTATATTTTGGCATTTTGCTAAAGCGCTATAAATATAAAATAATTGAGAAAATAACAATATAAAAGCAGATAATAAAAGCAAGAAATCAAAATCAAATGGAGAGAAAAAATTGTAAATTTTGAAATTAAAAATTATTTGTGCATTTTGTATACCTCACGTCAAAATTTTAATTTCACTAGTTTTTTCATATTTATTAAGAATTTACGAAATTATTAAAACTTATTTTGTAATTTTTCTTTTTAAATTTATAATATTAATTTATTTTTCTCTTTGCTTCTCTTTTATTTAGTTTCTTAGATGTATAAATAGTACAAGAAACTAAAGAAATTTTACTTGTACGTCATATTAAATTGTAAAATTATAAAAACAATTCGACAACAATTGAAGTTGGAATACAAAAAATTTTCATTTAAAATCATTTAAATCGTCATCATTTTCCGAGATATGGTTCAGTTTATTCTTTTGGATGCTTTTGACATCAATGAGCTGAAAACACAAAAATATTGCATGCTTTTAGAAAAAACCTTAAAATTTAACTTAATATAAAATTTTTTCGAAAAACAAAATTTTAACACAGTGAATAACAATAAAGGAAAATTCATTGTTTGGTTTCTTTTGAACTGAGGTGTTTTTTTATTACATTTTTTAACAAATGTAATTTTACCATAGTACAGTACAGTAATTAATAGAATTACTGTTTAAAAAAATCTCCGCAGTAAGGTTGAATTTTCTTTACTTTTTTGAAAGAGAGAAGTGCTAGTCACAAAACCGACGAATTAATTAAGCTTAAAGTGACAAACGGCCAAACTTCTCTCAAACAAAATTTAATTTGGTTTTACTGTACAAAGTATACACTGTGTACTATCGACAATTGCTTCTTATTTGGAAATCTTGTTGTATTTTTTTTAAGACGCATAAAGCGTTACTTCGTATAATTCACTGCAACCAAACTGCAAGGTTATGTAGTTTTGCAGCTGAAAATTTTAAAAGAATCATAAAAAGTATTGTAGTTTTGATATGACTGTAGAAAATAATGTAATCGATATACTTACATATGTAAAACAATGCAGTTTATCTGAACTAAGATTTTTTGTTTTGTTTTAAAAGATAATATTTATTATGTATGTATATTTGTGTGTGGTATGTAAATAATGAAGTGTATCAAAGGTGGGAATTAAATTGTTCTTTCTGTTTCGTTTTTTACATTTCTGTTTATACCTACATATATAGAAAGAATTAAAACAAAAGTGATAAGAAATTCACAAGACAAAAATAAAAATTTATGACTGATTAAATAAAGATCACTAAAAGGTCACCAATTGCTATGATTCATAATTTTATTTTTATATGTACATATGTATGTATGTATATTAAATTTATAAGATAATAGGTGAATGAGAGTAAGCTGATATTTATGTTTATTATCATGTGTTATATTATATACATATGTCTATCGTGCTTTAAAGGTTTTAAGAATAGAATTCAAGGGAAAATAACTTAATTTAAAATGAAAATAAAAAGTAGATAATTTAAATTGAATTGCGATCTTTTTTTGTATTTAATATCAATTTGCTAACTGCTATAAGAGAGAGTAGGAAGAAGGTAAATGTTAAGATTAACTTTTCTACATAAAACTTTCTAGGAATTCAAAAGAATGAGTTATACAAATTGAAAAAATTTTCAAATTTTCTTTTATAAAAAATTGATGTTTACGTATTTCAATCAGTTATAAGTTCATTTCTTCTTATTAATACTATTTTAGTTCCATAATTTATTAGTCTCACAAGTTTTTGTTTTCATACAGTCTCTACAATATCAGTGGCAAAAATATTTTCTTTGATACTAAGATTAATTAGAAATAATTAATAATTGTAATTTATAAGTTTATAATTAATTAAACGAAAATTAATTATTTTTAATTTCAATGTATATTTATAATGGAAATTATGCTATAAATTATTTACATATTCAATGTTATACACAATTAGACGATATGGCGTAATTAAGAATATTAATTTCTTTCTAAAAATAAATTTAATTCTATGAAATAAGTTTGGAATTACTAAACATGTTTTCCTATAATTTTTTTATGTCCAAATATTTTGATTGTAATTTGAATAATATTAATTTAAATATATTAAAAAAATTACGCTTAAGCCTTTTTTTTTACAATAATTTGCGGAATTTTCATCTGTCATTTGTTATTTACTATATTTTGTAAACAGAAGCTCCAAGAATCAGATACAAAACAAGCATTTTATTTGGAAAAGTTTAAAGAAAAATCCCTCCTATTTCTAGAGTCTCTTATTAAACGAAATCCAAATTTTCTTCATAGTTTTTCGAAAATTCATGTAAATTTTCCGTAAACAAATAGTAAAAGTAATTTACTCCATAGCAAAATCAATAAATAATTATTTACAGTAATTCTATAAAAGATTTTGAAGAAAAGGGTTAAGAAAGCAGGTTAACATTGAAGTGCTTTCATTTTCGGCAAACTATATGTGTTAATTTTAGCAAAGCTCTTTATTTCAATAAACAGAACTTTGTAATAGACTGTTTTCATCTAAATTATCACTAAAATTTAAATTTAAAGTTTAATTATTTTTCAACATTCTTGAAAATTTGCTTGTTTTTTTCTATGGCTATTGAACAGTTGAAATTTGATATCTCGCAAGTAAATTATATTTTTTTACATTGAATGTTAATGTATTTGTATAGGTTTATTAGGTGTAAAAAAAACATTGTTTATTGTAATTTTTGTAAACACAAAAGGCGCATACATGTAAACACGTATTTGAGCATGTAAACAAAAATAATATGTAGGCAGATTTTGTCATTTTCTTTTAAAATAATAAATACATATAATTAAATAAATTATTGTTAGACATAGATTTTCTTATAGATCAAAATTATTATATATTTATATGTAGGTTAGAATCAATTAGAGCACGTTCTTTCTTAAATTTTGAACTTAAAATAATGATTCATTCAATTTTTTCTCGGAATTATTTTGTGTAATTTTGTACATGAACGTTAATTTTTGGATTTTCTATTGCATTTAGTGTGACTAATAGATATTTCCCACTAGATTCTAAGGGTTATATTTTCATAATTCAATTAACTTTTAGGTTTATATCTTCTTATTTCATATACATATTATGTACATATAACAATAACGCGGAAAAAAATAAATCAAAATTATATTTATTGATTATACAATTTTCTTTCTTGTTAAATATTTTTGATAGTTTTCAAAATAAAAATATTGGAAATTGATTTTATTCATAAAATAAATTAGAAAAACTTTACAAGTGTTAGGAGCTATTTCGTACATTTACGAGAAAATCCTAGATTAAGTCTACGATAAAGTCTGATGACTGTCTAATATATATCAGACTGAAATTATACGGTGGAGTTCACACTTTACATCAAAAATTTACTAATTTTGTTACAAAAATTATCATCAAAATAAAAGTCAACTGATCGCTGTTCAATACTCCCACAAAATGTTAATCGTATACTCAGTTTACCTTTAAAACATTTGATAATATCAACACTAATATTATTTAAGATTTTAATTTTTTATTGAATTTTCATTTGCGAGCCTAAAGCGTCATTAATCCTTGAGATATATGAAGCTTTTCCATTATAATTAAGAACGATAATAAAAAATAATTTTAGCAAAAATTGAATATTTTTTTAATTTTTGCATATTTTGTATTTTTTTTAAACAATAATTTAATTTCCCAAAATTGCATTCAAACAACTTAAAAAACAAAATTTCTTTAACAAAATTAAAAATAATAATACAATGTAACACATTTCGCCGGTTAAAAAGCAGAAAGCACGAAGTGCATTTTTTGAGAATTCGCATTTCATAGATAAATTAAATCAGAATAAATAATCTTTGTTGTGGCAAAAAATCATGCAAATCCAGAATGTAATTTATAAATCCAGAAATTAAAGAAACAAATCCCTTTTTCAAATTGACTTTCCTCAAAATACAGCTTTTTAACCGACGATTTATTTTAAATAGGTGCATGTAGAATATTTGAGCTTTAAATATGAATAGTCAATTGTTTGTATACCCAATTTTTTGAAATAATCAACAGGTTGTTGAAAATCGAAAATATTTTTTTTTAACGTTTGACAATTTGTATTCACAATGTTCCAGACAACATATTACTTAATATTCACAATTATTATTGTTACAAAAATCTGAGAAATAAAATAAAAATTAATTACAATAATTATTCCAACTAAATTTTTAAATTTATAACCATGGTTTAATAAATTTCAATGAATATCAATGAAAATTTTATTGTTTTTTGTTTTTAACTCTTTTACTTTTTTATATCTTTTCTTATACTTATTGCAAAACTTGATAAATTTTACAAATCAAGTTCATAAATTACTTATGAATATTAAATTACAAACATAATTTGTATTTCACTTTAATATTGAGTAATTCACTGTTTACTTGAAGACCAAAAAAAAAAAACACAAAACTAATAAAAAGTGGTTGCCCTCTATAGTTTTTTTTATCGTAATTCACAATATACACATATTGTGGCTGTACTTTTAATTGTTAAAAGCCTTTGATATTTTATATTCAATGTAGATTGCTCCATCTAACATAAAACAGTTACATTTCAAATTAATATTATAAAAATAAAATTTTGTTTTTAATATTCTTTTATAATTTTAACTTGAGTCAATTATAATTTTCTTACTACCTTAAGTTCAAGGTCTAGGTGGTGCAAAATTTTTAATATTAAAATTTAAAATTTTGCTCACATAAATTATTTAATTTATATATCTATAGAATTTAAATTATATTGAATTCATTAATTTGTCCTATATTTTCAAATTAAGAATTTTAAATTACAAATTTATAGTCACATTTTTTCTTTTGAAATTTTAAATATAAATTCCAATTGAATGAATTTTGTTTTTCTGAATTTTATTATCACGTTCTTTAACAACATATTTAATAATTTAAGGTTGAATCAGAATAAGTAAATGGTTAGTAATAATTTTTTTGATAATTAAGACATATTTAACAAAAATTGAAAATAATTTACTAATTGGTTTTCTTTCTGTTTGTTCGTCTTTTAAATTGGAATTTCGCACGCATTTGGAACTGTTTACAAAAGTTTAACGTTCTTTGGTGTATAAGGTGGTATAGACAATTTTATGCACAAATGCATCCTTTTGGAAAAATTGTTTCTCTGAAAAAAATTGTTTCTTTAAAATCCAAGAGATGTCATTTTTAAACAATTTTTTAATTTCGCATACATTAGAAAATACGGTAAATCTACTTTTGTAAAAATAGTAACACAGTATTACCGAAAATTACTGTTATAATATGACAATGAAAATTAATCGTCACCTTGATTTCTTTTTTTTGAGATCTGAGAAATCTGATATTTTTTGCAAGTTCTAGGATCTAGGTCTTAAAAACAAAAATTTTCTATTTTCTTCCCTTCCCAACTGGTTGCATATTAAAATTAGAAAAAGGATTTCAATTATCGGAAACTCATTTTTATGGAAATTATTATTATCTATCCAATTAATCTTTTTCTTATCTGTTTTCTTTTTCCATATCAAAATCAATCACTTTTACTAATTAGTGCCGTGAATGCAGTTACACATGAAAAAATGCAAGAAAATCAAAAAAAAGGCAATCACTTGCGTTAGCAACAAAAACTGAAATTCATGACGCTCTAGCCCTAGCGTCAATAAGTATTGGAATTCATGATTTTTGCAAATTGCGCGCCAATGAAGTTCTGGGAAAGTACCCTCCATTTCGTGCTATTTTGAAATTTATTTGTTAGATCCGAGTGTTTCTTTTTAAACAATTTGAATTGTTTTGATTTGGTTTTTTTTTTTAATTTTGTTTACATTTTTGCAATATTATTTATTATAATGTTTATAATAAAAAAATTTATTTTAAATAGTAAGTGTAAAGCTTTAAAAATTTTATTTGTTATGAAATAAAAATTTTTCTATTCAATTTCGTATGTAAATTGTTTTCTTACTCTTAAATTATATTTTAGATTTATTTATTGCCTTTGCCTATTTGAAATAATTTGAAATATTTTAATGATTAAAAGTATTACAATATTACTATTTATGTGCATACATACATGCGTGTATGTATGTATATAAAATATTTTACTTAAACAAATTTTATTTTTGTAAACAGAAAACGTATGCGTTTTGAATAAAAAAGTGTTAGAAAATGACATCATTTTTGTAATAATATAAAAATTTTTTTAATAATAATATTAAAAAATAATTTCACTATGTGAGTATGTAGATAGAGAATGTAAAAATATGGTTATATAACAGGAAATAATTTTTTTTTTTAATTTTATTCTTTCATGACTTCCAATTACATTTATTCAAATTAATAATTATTCATTATTATCATTATTATTATAATAAATATATGAGTAAAATGCTAATTTTAATTAAATTTATTAACGTGAAAAACTAGGTTAAAATTTGAGTTGACTTCATTGTTTTTTTAATCAATTAATTATTTATACTGGGCATTAAATAAATTATGACTTAATATGTGATGAGTAAATTTTCTGAATTATTAATATATTTAGAATTATGGAATGTCGTGATTTGAGATAAAAACCTTTCTATGTTATCAAAATTGTGTGTGACTTTTCTATAATATATTTTGAAATTTGTATAATAAGTAAGTTATTTATTGGTTGTTGTAGAAATGTTTACAAATTTTACATTCTCTAACTTTAAAATCGCAACAATTCGGTAAAACAACTGCAACTCACATAAGTTGAATAATAAATTAGTGTTATTTATAAATCATTGATTCTATTCTTAATTCTTCTTAATCTAAAAAAACGCCGGTTTGCTCTGCTAATTGTATTTAAATTTAGACCGAAATAATTTAATATAGCATCAATTATTTAGACTTGAATTGCACGAGAAAAAACAGATAATCTTATATTGAAACAATGGAAAATTTTATATACGTATGCAAAATACATTGTTATGCTGATAATTTTCAAAACAAAAATTGATAATAACCTGCAATTTGTTTGTTTTCGATTATAAAATAATCTTTTAAATTGACAAAAATAATGCAAATTTTTTACAAATTAAAATTTAATTTTAAATAACATTTTAAGAATTATATTCACTAATAAAATCTATTTTCTTTATTTTTTAGGCTGTTGCAATAGGTTGTATTGCTTTAGTTGAGACTAAAGGTATCATATTACCACGTCAAATGTTAACATGTGGAACATTTGTCGGTTTTACAATCATATGCGCCGTTTTAGTTTTAGGTAAGATTACATTCCATATATAAGATTACATGTTATATTTCATATTAATACAATCTATTTTTTTCAAATTTTGATAATTTTAATTTAATTTCTAATATAATATTCTATTTTTTACTTTAAATTTTTAGGTCACATTATCAGTTCTCCACTCGATAAACGTGTTGATATGTTAATCAGTATTGGTGGTGTTATTTTATTCATTGCAACAGGAGCTGTTATTATTGATGCATTTAAGGATACAACAACAATATTTGGTGTAGGAAAAGAATATAAGGATTATGCTTTGGCAACTGGTGGACTTGCAATTATTGACGCTGTTGTATTTCTTATTGATATTTTTATTACATTTAGAAGTTAAATTCATTTTTAGTTATGTAAAAAAAAGTAAAAAAGAAAACAAGAAACATAAACTATTAATTTTTCCTTTTTTTTCTATTTAAAAAATAAATTTTTTTATTGAGACAAATTTGGCAGAATAAAACAAACTATCAAAACACAAGATGAAAATAAAATAATAAATTTATAAAAATATTTTTTTTTTCCAAATTATAATTATATCACTTTTTTGTCTATTTATTTTAATTTCTCCTTTTTTTTTTAATTATATGATTAAAATTACATAAAATAAAAATAATAATAACTTTAAAAAGTTAGAATGTAAGATTTTGAAATTACAAATATAAAAAACATCCAAAGCTATATTTATTTTTGTGTTGCTTTTTTTTTATAATATCGCTTAATTTAATTATTATTTTTGATAAATATTGAAGGAAAATCTTAAAATATTTTTCTATTATCCTATACTTGTAAAAATATCTTGATAATTTAAGTGCTTTAATTCATAAACTTTAAAAAATATTCCTTACACAGTATTTTTTATCCCCCACGTTTTTATGTTGCTAACATTATAAATTAGCAAAAAAAAAGAGAAAAATATGAGCTCGAATTTTAAATAATCAAAAAAATAATTAAAAAAATTATGTAGAATTCAATTTAAAAGAGAACAGTTAGTTTTCTTGTTTAAATTTTATAAATGTTAATCACCCATAATCAGACACGTCACTTAAGATGATAAGAATAAAATTTTTGTAAGTTTCGAATTAAAATTAACTTTCAAATTTGTTACTTTACGCTGAGAACCTTCACAACTTCTCTCAGATAGCCTGCATTTGAATGAATTATGGGTGATTGTAATGATATTTTTATAATACAACCCTTTAATATAACATATGTAGTACATAATAATATTTTTTTTTAAATAAAATTAAATATGTATATGTAATTTCTTTAAAAATAATATTCAAATTTATGCATTGGTCTAAATATAAATATTTTGGGTTTAATATGCTTATTATATTAAATATTTTTAAAAATAATATTATATTGGTATTTAAAAAGAACCAATAGTTAAATTTAATAATTTGTATATTTTTTTAAAAGAAACAGAAATAATATTTTTGTTGACAACCGCCTAAAACTATGCAATAAGTTTCAATTTTATATTATTAAATTTTGCAGTAATTTTCAAAATGATATGCAATTATTTATTTTCTTAAGAATTTAAAATAAAATTTTAAAATTAAAAAAAAAAAAAAATTTGTATAAATTATAAGATTTAATTCAGGTTTAAATTAATGTTTAATTATTTTTTTTTTTAAATGAAATATGCAAAAAATGCACTTAAAAATTTTTATTAAGAGTAATTAAATATAAAAACAAGAACAATGAATATAAAAATAATTAAATATTAAAAAATATGTTTATATATATTTTAGTCTGAAAGAAAGAAAATATATACGAATTTTATGATTAAATGTCCAATTAAAAACTAAATATTTATATTATTGCAGAAAAAATATATAAACTTTTTAAGAAAATATTATTTTTATTAAACAATCACGTATATTCTCGTAAATGCATTACTTGATTTGATGTGATGGGAAATATTTTCTAATTATCGGAATAAAATCAATGAAAACCTTTATATTTTTGAATAATTCTAAATAATATGATGTGTTAAAGGGAATATAGGTGAATGATTTTTGAAGAAATTTTTTTTTTGTTTAATAAAAGCAAATTTTTTTTCACTATTTTAAATGAATTTTGCAAACAATGTTAAGTGAAGAAGAAAATATACAAAATATAGTGTACAATTTACCTCAATAATTCAGAGATATTAAATTAAATAGCTTTAAGATTTTAATTATTTACATATGCACAACATTATTATGCATAACATACTTTTATAATTTTAATATTAACATTTTTGCTTTTATTAAATTTTAATTTTTTTGTTTACAACATTTTCATTTTTCTTATATAAACGTGTCAAATTTCTTTTACAAGTTAACTGATTACATTATTATGTTATATAATTAATAAATTTAACTATATCTACAAATTATATATATATATATATATATATATATTTACAAATTAATTTTGATGTTGCTTATATAAAAAACTAAAACTATAAAATCGAATATATACACACATTTATATTACAATTTTGCAGAAAATTATTTAATTTACTGAAATAATAAAAATATATTTCAGAAAATTTATATACAATGTACAAACATTTGACAAATATAAAAAAATATTTATACAAAAAGAATAATAACTAAAATTAATAAAAACAATATAATTTATGAAATCAAAAAAAAAAAAACATTAAACACACACTATTTTCAAAAAAATTTATACAAAATACAAAATGTTAGTGGAATAAAATGTACAACAAATTTCTAAATGACCACTATATTTTATTTTTAATAAAAATGAAAAAAAAAATTAATAATAATTATAAATTAAGAATGTCTTCATAATATCTAAAAAAAATAAAATTCTTATGTATGTGTTTAGTAGAGAGAAATAAAAATAAAATATATTAATGAAATATTAAAAATTTGGCTATAAATTATTATTAATAAATGAGAAAAAAAAAACAAATGAATTTCAAGTATATTTAAGTGTACTTTTTACTGTTAATTTTAATGAATACAAAAAAAAAACTTTATATGTACATGTTTCAGAAATCACAAATGATAACAGAATAAAAAATGTAACTCAACGTTCAACTGTAAAAAACCAAAATAAAATGTTTTAAATTTTGTTTTATTTTTTTACCAATTTTTGATCTAGAGTTCTTAATTAAGATCGCCGTCAGATTGATGTCTTTATTAATTTTTATTACTGAGTAGATTTTTATTTTCTTTTTATATAGTGTCGTCCTGTTTCAGTGTTAAAGTTCACGGGGTGTGATTCCTCGAATTTTTCAGGAAAAAAATCGTATGAGTGGGGATATAAGCTCGTACATCTAGGGGTAGTTTCTGGGGCTAAAATTCTGTTTTTCAACCTGTTGAATTTGGAGCATTGCATTGTATACAACAATTTTTCACAAATGATAGATTTACGTAACGTCTGCTGAAACACGAAACTTTTGGTTAGAAAACAGAATTTTTTTTAAAAACCGTTAATTATTTTAAAAAAAGTTTTTAAACATTCAAATCAGAATTCACATTTTTTCTAATTAATATTCCATTTTTCCAGTAGGTTTACTCATTTTGGATTTTTACATTTTGAATTGAATTTTTACATTTTTTCTAAAATTATTGACTGAAATTTATTTTTCTTCTAACTTGCGAGTAAAACAGCAGGATAAACGATCAAACCGATAATTTTCTTAATTCATTTGTCCCTTCTCTGGTAAAGTGATAATTTATGTTTGGAATTTTCCCTATAGAAATTAAATTTTAATTTAGATTCAACTTGGAAGGGTTATGAACTGAAACTAGTTAACTATTTTCAATTACTTTTTTTTAAGTTTAAATATGCAACTGACTGTCAAGAAAAAGTAGTGAGGTTAAGAATAAGTTTAAATATGCAACTGACTGTCAAGAAAAAGTAGTGAGGTTAAGAATAAGTAGTGAGGTCAAGAACCACAATTCCATAATTTTTAACATTTTTCTATGCAAAGCTTTTAAAAATCCAAATGCCAGTATGTATATGATATCAAACAACGGTATATGGTTTGAAAATTTACTATAACTATTATATTAATGATATTACTGTTATACAAATTATTTCATATATAAAAATTTTGAATTACAAATTATTTCATATATAAAAATTTTGTTATATGCAAATTTAAAAAAAAAAAACCGTTATAAAATTAAACTTTTAAAGCTTTTTGTATTGTTTTGTTTTCTGTGCAATGAAGGGATTTTGATGAATTGCAGTTAAAGAATAATTTTAATGGAAATTTTAAATAATATCAAAAATTTTGCTGTATTAATTTATAAATTTTGAAAATAATAAACGTTGAAACATAAAATAGCAATCAATGATTAAGTTTTTTTTAGTTTAGAATTTAAATAAAATCCTTAATATGTTTAACGAGTTTAAAATCTGTAATTTATCATAATTGTGTATAATAAGTGCTTATGAATTTCAGTTCAAAATAAAATTAATATTTTACATATTATAAGATATAGAAGCGGAATAAAAAAAATGAATACAAAAACATAAAGCACATTAAACAGTCCGAATCAAAAAGAAAAAATATTTTTAATTCCACAGGTGCTTTTGATGCCAATTCCAATTAGATAAATTGAATATTCTCGTTTACACTAGCTATGTACCTCTCATTCCCCAAGCTTGTTAGCAACGAAAATGAAAGGTAATATTGCGATTAATGATGTAGAAGACGTAATATAAATATTCTATTGAAAAACTTAATACATTAGACACCCGAATATGGACTTGAGTTTTCGAAAATTTGAAATGTCAATTATTTGATAATTCGGACATTTCATTTAAGCATGTAAGTTGTGACAATTATTCATTTAATTTTTACAGTTTACAAGACGTCACCGAATTTCAAATTGAATCATAGGTGTTACCGAGTTTTAGATTTGGATGATCAAATAAACCAATTTGTTTGCTCTGAAAAAATATCAATAAAAGTAATAAATAATATTTAAGTATTTCGCCAAATTTTATTTACTTACATATATGTAAATAATATCATCCACAATTAAATATTTTCGAAGTGCGTCATTTATACCATCTACGGTATGTGCATACATACATACCACAAGAATGATCTAAATTCTATTTGGAGTTTGAACTTATAAAAAGAACTTGAAAAAAAATATCAAAAATCACAATAAATACTTCTATCTCTCTTATACTCCCTAATATATGCAATTACCGAATATTACAAAAAGAAAAGAAAGACTTAAATACAAACATTTTCATAAACTTCAAAATAATGTTAAATAAAATGTGCTACATGATTTGGTTTTTTTGCATTTACATACATCCATACAAAATCAAATATATTACAGGTATACATGTACATATGTATTCTTATGTTGTATATTGTAGCTTTGAATATGTATATTGCACTACTCACTATTTCAACTTTTCCAAAAAATAAAAAACAAAAAGAAGAACGAAAACAAAAGTCTGGTGCCTTTTAGATTTTTGCGATTCTTTAATTTTTATTTTTATTTAGCATTTTATAATTTTTTTTTCTTTCAGTTTTTTTTTTGTGGGCAAAACATGCACCGCAACAGAGTAAAGTTGTTAAACAACTCTTCGAAAACTGGGACCCACCAGGTAATTCAAAGTTATTTTTCTCTATAAAAATTATTAAATGTGCAAAAGAGTATACTTATTTATTAAAATAATAT